GTAGCCACATACAGCATCAGGAAGCTCCCCGAACAGGGAACAACAAACTGCAGGACGATATGAACCGCTCCAGGCACAGGATGGGGAACTTCGCACGTATATCACACCTACCCGAAGGCATCATCAAAAGACGAGACAACACTTACACGATCGAGGCCCGAAAGATCGCTCCCACGGTCGTCGACCATGGCGGCCACTATGCAACCTGTGGAAAAGCAGGCCTTCTCCAAGGACATGTGGCAGTCCCGTCGGTGTCCATGAGCTGCTGGGTACAAGTGGCTCCGCTTTTGCCACGGAGCCTCCCACGCCCAAAGAACCAGCGGCTCCCCGAGCAGCAGCATGCAGGACACCACCACCACCGACAGCCGCAGCGTCGGACTGCGGCTCCCAGGCTTTGCCAAAAGAGCCGAGGAACTTGCCAACCACGTTCTCCACGACGGGCACCGCGCTCGCGACACCGCCGAACTGCTGCTCCTCGATCTCCTGGCGTACGATCTCGGCATGCGCGGGGAGCGTGGCCGCGAGGAGCAATCCCGCCTCCCGGCCATCCCCGAAGGCCTTGGCCTGCAAGGCTGGGGCTCCGAGCGGGCTCTCCCAGGTGCCAGGAGCCAGCGCCTCGCCGCCTGAGACGACCTGCGCCACCCCCTCGTCCAGCACGGGCCTGGTCGCACACCCCAGCCTCGACGGGGCAACAGCGCAGGCGCCAAACCGTGGGCCAGATGTTGCCCAGGCGATCCCATCGCCCGCGGCTGCGGCGAAACCACCGGTTGGCGCGAGAGCCGCATGCCAGGCCGCGTTTCGCCGACTGCGTGTGGCTCCTGGCACTGCCGCGCCGGCCGACAGGAGTTTGAGCGCGGGCCACGCCGCCAGCTCCCTGTCTTGCCAGGGGCCTGGCTCGCCGACGCAAGCACGGGCGCGCAGCGCAGCATCGAGAGCCTCCCGAAGGCGCCGACGAGCAGCGCGGCGAGCCGCCGTCGGACCGAGGGCGACAATGTCGGCGGCACGTAAGGAGCTGGGCCGCCGCGCACTCGGGCAGCCCCCGCAGCCTTTCAAGGCGTGCCTGCCGCCGCCGCCGAGCCGCCGACCATGGGCGAGAAGGCTGCGGAGAAAGTGGGAAACGCAGCTTGAGCCAGAAAGGCTTGAGCCAAAATGGTTACGGAGAGAGAGTGGATGATGATGATGATGATGATGATGATGATGATGATGATGATGATGATGATGATGATGATGCTGATGCTGATGATGATGATGATGATGATGATGATGATGCTGATGATGATGATGATGATGATGAGGAGGAGGAGGAGGAGGAGGAGGAGGAGGAGGAGGAGGAGGAGGAGGAGGAGGAGGAGGAGGAGGAGGAGGAGGAGTGTCATGAGTGCCATGATCGCCACAGTCACAATGGCAGGCGGGATTAGCGAGAGCCAGGAACCAACCGACGCCCCTCGGCGCGTCGGACTCGACTGGCGGCAGCCTCCAAAACTGGGGCCGAGAGGCCCTTGTGGCCAGGAAATCAACCTCGGCGAATTCGAAGGAGATTTTCGTGCCCTTTCTTAGAGCACAGGGAGCATTCGCTGACAAGCTGCCTCGGGTCGACTGCGGCCGAACGGCCACACCGAGAGCAGAAATACAGCGAGTGCTCGGGCCAGAAATGCAGACAGCGACTGGAATGCAAGGACTCCCCCCCACCGTCACCGCCCGCCTCACCCGAGATATCCCATGGCCGAACTCCTGCTCAGGATCGCCGCCTTCAACGGCGGGGCAGGGTTGGGCACAACCCTCCAGAACGTTCGCCGAGGGACATATGGACGAGCAGAGTGAGCAAATCCACTTCGTGCCCGTTTTAATTAGACAGTGCGAGCTGCCTCTGAGAGCAGCCTGAAGTTTGGTGACAGTGGAACGGCCCTGCTTGGGCCTCTCCGCGGTCCAAGGGGCCACACGGATGGTTTCCGCCAGCGCTTGGGCGGCCCGTTGACGGATGAGAAAACACGTGGCGTCCCAGCGGTCGGTATCGGGCACGCGCTGGCCACGAGTAGCTAAGTCCCAAGACTCCTGCGCGGCCTGGCCAGCCAACTCATCAGCAACATCATTACCCGACGCGAGGAGGACCTGGTCCTCCGACAAGGAGGGGTCCGTGGGATCCAGGTGGGAGGGGGTCCACAAAACAGAAATCCCGTCCTCGCGGCCCATTAGGGCCAAGCGGATACGAAGCCACAAATCCGAATTCACACCGTTGCTGTGGATGAAACTGCGCCGCCACCACCCCTCTAAAAGGGGCTTGTTGTCGGTGACATGCTCAAACTCACCTGGAACATTGAGGAGCGCCAGCTCAAAGGCCAACAACTCAGCTCTGGGGACAGTCTGACGGCGGCCAGTGATGGTGGAAGCCCAACCCTTAAGGCGGGACCACTTGGCGCCATCCCAAGCCACCAGGACGGCAGCAGCACCGACGCGTCGGCGGCGTGGGTCGGAGCTGAAAGCTCCTCCAGAGCCGTCTCCAAAGACCCGCAGGAGCCCAGAGGGGGACCTGGCCGCAGCGATCGCGGCTCCTTCGATCGACGACGACGACCCCATCTCCCAAGACACATCCGCCCCCCCATCCTTGAACGCAGGGCAAGTTAAAGACCTGGGAGGAATGCCTCGAAGCCACACGGCTGGGTTAGCCTCGTGGCCAACTCAGGAGGAGGAGGAGGAGGAGGAGGAGGAGGAGGCGGAGGATGAGGAGAAGAAGAAGGAGGAGGAGGAGGAGGGGGAGGAGAAGGAGGAGGAGGAGGAGGAGGAGGAGGAGGCGGGGCGGTGCCCGCGGGACGGGGCCACGATCTCGAAGGACACCCGTAGATCCCCAGAGCCCCTCGCGTGGTGACCAGAATCGCGCCGTGAAGTGCTTCGCTACTTTTCGCGGGTGTTGCCAGAAGTGCCCCTGGCCGAAGGTGCCCCCAGGATTCGTCGGGGTGGCGCACGCGGCCTCCAGAGAGCACCCCTCACGACGCCCAGAGGGTCCCAGGGTCTCCAAAATGGATCGAAACGCTGGGGGCACCTTGGACCAGGGGCACTTCTAGCAACGCCCGAACTGTCGGGCCCTCGCCAGGCCTCGGGACCGTCCAAAAGGCGACTGCGGATGACAAACTGGTCCCCGGGAAGGGGTCCAGACTTCTGAGGGGCACGTCATGGCAAAAATCACGACTTCGGGGGTCTGGGTCCGAGGATCTGACGCCGCGCCGCTTGTTCTGAAAGCGCCCGAGTAGTTGAAGCCGATACCACGGCAAGCGAACAACAAGCCCTGCGTCCCGCGCCCAGATGGGCGAAGCCGGCGCCGCGGTAAAAGCGCGGCAAGCCCTGCGCCAGAGGCGGAAGTTGCTCTGGTGGCCGAGGCGCCCTCTCAAAGACGCGTCGGAACAAACGGCGCGGCGACGTTTTTTTTTTCTTTTCTTATTCTTCTTCTTTTTCCCAATCGGTCGTTTTTTGTGGGGTCCGCTATCGGGTCCAAGGACTATCAAAATGGATACGGGGCGAACCCCCCCCCCTGGGGAAGGGGGGTCGGGACCTCCGGGGCCGTGGATTGTAACAGTTTCATATCGGGATGTATGGGTATGTCTCGCCTGGTGTGGAGGAGTCGCCGCGCCGTTTGTTCCGACGCGCTGCCTTCCGTCTTGAGGAGGACACCGCGGCCACCAAAGCAAGCGCCGCCTCGGGCGCAGGGTTTGCGGTAGGTCTGCCGCGGTGTCGGCGTCGTCCACTTGGGCGCGTCGAGAACAAGCGGCGCGGCGACAAATATGCCACGCCTGGTGCGGAGGAGTCGCACTGCCACGACGAAGGCCTGTGCCGAAATCTATACGGACAAAGTCATGCAGCGCACGCACTGGACGAAGATCTGTGCGATTGGATGTCAAAGCCTGCGGCTAGTGCAATGCGTGGCTGGCGTAGGAACGGCAATGGGCCAGCTGTAGGGCACAACCGTAGCGGCAATGGGCGAGCTGTGGGGCAACACCGTGGCGGCAATTGGCCAGCTGTGGAGCAACACTGGTGCACCGTGCGGAATCCTTGACAACATGATGTCTCCACGCATCTCGCATCTTCCTCAGAGGCCAGATACCTGGCTGCTCGATTTTTCGCCACCTGAGCCCCAGAACCTCTCGACCCTTTCTGTGGGGCCAGATTTTCGTTGGGATATTTTTGTTGTCCGTCCTGCGGCCCAGGAGCGGCTCCCAGAGGCCCAACATGGCGCAAAACCTCCGCCTTGATGTTCTCCAGACGTGGAAGGCACTTCCATTGGAAGGAGGGCAGAGTCACCCCCATCAGAAGCACATCTACAGGCGAAGCCCTTTCGCATGCGCACCAGAGGGAGGAATCGAGCAGGGCAGAGCTGCCTGGCAAATGCCCAGGACTGTTCAGCAAACGCCAGTGATGGGGGTCGGGGTGGCTTTAGGGAAACCAAGAGGTACCGATTCCGCTACTCTCCTCCTCGTCCTCCTTCTCCTCCTCCGCCTCCTCCTCCTCCTCTTCCTCCTCCTCCTCCTCCTTTTCCTCCTCCTCCTCCTCCTCCTCCTCCTCCTCCTCCTCCTCCCGCTCTCCGTGCTTTCCCCTCCAATTTCGAAGGAATTCCGAAGCGAATCCAGGGGTGGCGGCGAGGGCCCCCAGGAGCCCCCCAAAGGGGGAAACGGGGGAAGGGCTGCGGTGTGGGTACCTTCTCCTCCTCTGAAGATCAGCCTCCCTCGATTTTCGGCCGCCAATTGTTGAGAGCAGGGACCGACCGTCCTGGCATTCCCAGAGGCCTACCACGAAACCTTCTTAGAACCCAGCAATGTTCTAAGAACGAGCGCAATGTTCTTAGAATCATGACCCGATGCATTAAAACAAGACAGTCCCAACCAGAACAGTGCTAACAACTTTTCGTGCAAATCACAAAAGGTTCTTTAAACATTCTTTGGTAGGCCTATCAGCGAGCCAGAATGCTTCGCCACTGTTTCAAATTGCGCGGGGTCACCCGCACCTCGCGCGTCCTTGCTGTGCGGGTAGTGTGCGGCCACCACGATGATGCGCCGCCCGCCTCCTCCCGGGGGCTCCAGAGCAAGGGACAGTGCCAGCCAGCACCCGGCTCAGCAAACTGGATCGGATCGGAACGTGCGCTGGATCGGCCTCCGTGGACACGGAGGCAGGACGATGAGCAAACCGGGTGAGGAGAGATATCTCTGAGATCTGGCGGCTCTGGGGGATGTCTCGGGCGCCGCGGCCTTCTCAGAGCGTTCCGGAACGCTCTGAGAGCGTTCCAGAGCGCTCTGGAACGGATTTATCCTCGTCCTAGCCCCGTCCGGCTGCACAACGTCGCGATGCAATCATCAAACCGCACCACATCGTCGGAATACTGGAATCGATCCGGATCGGTCCGACATCGGATCGGATCGGCCGGATCGATCTCGAATCGGATCGATCGGATCGAACTAGGCCGTGCAAAGGGTGGACCGCGGCAGCGGCGATAGAAACGGCAACCGGGGTGATGCCGCCGACGTCGTCGTGTTCGAGCTCGTCGTCACGGCTGGACACGGCTTGGAAAAGTGGCTGGCGTGAGTTGGGCCGAGTCGCAGAATCGGACTGGATCGGAAACGCATCGGATCGCACCCGAGTCGGCGTCGGGGCTTCGCCAACAGGGGCTTAGCTAAACGGGGACTTGGGCTGTTCCATGCAATGTGCCCCCGTTGGCTGCGCCCCCGTCTACGGCGCCCAGAGCCGCCTAAACGGGGGCGTGGCCAAACGTAGAAATCGGCGCTCCCCGTGCCCCCGATCGAGCCTCAGCGGTCTCGACCCAAGCATCTGCCAGCAAATGTGCGACACGCCGGCGTCCACCCAGGATGGCCGGCTGTGCCTGGAAGCACCCCGACAGGTGGGATAAAGCATCGGCAGAAACTCGAAGCCGCCAAGGGGGGAGAGGAAGGACGCACGAGAGCAGCGAGGGAGGGGGGGGAGCTCCTCCTCCTCCTCCTCCTCCTCCTCCTCCTCCTCCTCCTCCTCCTCAGGGTGCCCCCGTTTGCTGTGCCCCCGCCTCCGGCGCCCTGGCGGCGCGGAAGCGGCTCGGGACCGCACCGTCTCGGGTCGAGGCGTCGGGCTCGGCTCCTGCAGGCCCCAGGGCTGCCGAGCGGGCGCCTGTCGGCTCGGATCGGAGCGAGCTCGGGGCCGGAGCCCGGGAGCGGATCGGAGCGGGCTCGGGCCGCGAGCAGACCTGCAGGCGTCTGGGACCGAACGCTGCCTGGAACATCAGCTCGAAGCTCGAACAACTTCTCTCACTTTTAAGACGGAGTCGGTTCCCCCAAGTGGTTTGATAGTGATACTGCAGGTATGGACCTGCAAATTTCACAGGCGAGCCCAGCATAACCTACTGCAGGTGCGAAACATCTGGATTCTGAAAACTGTGTTGAGCGGAGCTAGGTGGGTCCTCTGGCGAGGAGCAGGGAGCACGGGGAGGACCCGAAACGAAGACGAACAGGGCCGACACGTGCGACCAGAGATCTCTTGCTGCACGGAATCCAGTGGCACATCACGCGTCGACCTTGAGCTTCGCAAGGCGCCTCAGTGGTCGCTGGAACCATCGGGGGATCCAGACGTCCGCCGAGATGATTTTTCAATCGGCGGCCCCAAAGGTCCCGACCCCTTCCCCAGGGGTGGTTTTTCGCCCTGGATTCATTTTTGATGGTCCCCCGGCCCGACAAAAGGTCCTCGAGGTCGAAATCCGGGAAAGAGCCGCCGGTTTGAAAAAATCAAATCCTCGGATCTCTGGGGTGAGGAAATTCTCATGTGGCCCTCGCTGGCAGACTACAGCCATCGAAGAGGAGCTTCGCCGACCTAGAGATCTGAGCAACGGCCCGCAAATCAGGGCCCATCTGCTCCTCTTCACCTCCTCCTCCTCTCCTCCTCCTCCTCCTCCTCCTCCTCCTCCTTTTTCTCCCTCCTCGGGAGGAGGGGAGGAGGTTGAAGGAGAGGAGGGGAGCAAGCGTGGGCCGAGACATCCCCTGTTCACCCGCATGCTCCCAGCGGATCCCGCAAGGTCCAGCAGGTTCGATGTCGGCCGACCCTGGGCCACCTACCGCATGACGGGCCCGCACCTCCAGGGCTGCCCGCGGCAAGAAGAGAAGGGGGCTATGCTTAGGTCGGGCCTGTCCCCCTACAGGAGGATTTTGTGCGACAAATAAAAGATCCCCCCCAAATGCCATCCGAATATGCAAAAAAGTCAAACATCGCCCCCGGACTGCTTTTTGACTGTTTTTGAGTCTTCCCCCTGTAGAGGGACAGGCCCGACCTAAGGCTATGCAGGGAGGCAGGTGGGATGGATGGAGAGGGGGCGGCCAGGTGGGGCAGGTGAGGCAGCGAAGCACAGGGCCCGGTCAGAGTGGGCTTTTTGGTGAGCCAGGACAGCCCGGAGGAGGGCGCGCATGAGAACACTGCGGCCGTGGGCCGAGACACCTCGGGCATTCCGTGCTCCCCGGCCAGGATTCTCAGAACCCCGGCTCGCAGTGTCCTGACTCTGGTGGCCCTGACGAGGCGCCGAGGGAAGCTTGCTCTCCGGAGGCGGCTCCTGACGCGGAGATGTCGTCGAACTGCTGGACGATGAACGGGCGGTCGTGATGGTCCTCCCGCTGCTCTGCCGTTGCATACGGAAGAGGGACAAACGACGAAAAACTTCATGAACATGAGCTCTTGAAGTCCGCGCGGATTTCCGTGATCCGACTGGGGCCTCCTCCCAAGCGCGTGGAGCGCGCCAGGGGCGGCGCCAGAGGCGCCGCCAAGAGGGTCCAGCGCCGATCCCATGCGGACCTCCGAACGTGGAACTCCGAACGCTCATGCTTACGCAGATCTTTCTTCTTCGAATTACGACGATGAGCACGACGACGGCGGCGGCGCCGCCGTCCGTCCTGCACTCTTCCTTTTGGCACACCCGCAACAGATACGAAACAAATGGGTGCGTTATCTGACAGCTGCTCTTGTTCCAGATGGACAGGGTCTGGGGCGACACCGACAGAGCGAGCCCTGTCCCAAATGGACATGACTCTCCTGTCGGTTTTCGTCTCCATTCTTCCCGTACCCATTTTGATCGTACTGATCGCCGATACGTCGGAGATGCATCGGCGACGCCGGGGTGGAGAAAATTGAGATCCACATGGTGCCGCATCCCCGACGCATCGGCGATGTGGCGCGATCCTCCGACTCATCTACCCCGATCACAGTTGGAAGGCCTGGACCTGCACTTTTCCCTACCTGAAGCAGGATCAATCGGTATCGAATCGGGACATCGAATCGAATCCGGACGAGCATCGAATCGGGCTGCACCAAATTCAAATCGAGATCGAATCGAATCGGCTGCGCCCCGATACGCAACTCGGCTGTGTCAGCTGCGCGCCGCATTGTATCGCCGGGAAATCGAAATCGAATCGGGTCGAACCTGTCGAATTCGACATCACATCGGATCGGTCGAATCGAAGTGGACCCTGGACGGCTCCTGGGCCATGCCCCAAAATCTTTTCCTTGTCAAACGCATCCTGTGGAGAAGGATGGGGAAACCTGCTGGAATACAGCGCGTGGATATTCGTGCTTATGTGCTTGGTCCGGATCGGCAATCGTATGCGGAGGCCCAGGTCAGCGCAGCCTTTGGAGACGGAGAAGGAACACTGAAAAGATACAGTGCGAATGATGTTGTACGTGTGTGCTCGGTCTGGATCGGCACTTTCATTCGGAGGCCTAGGGGGATCCGGGTACCAACCTGAGAGCACCAACGAAAGCATCGGCGGGACCTGAGGCGAGGGAAGGAGCCATGCCCCCCCTCTCCCGCTCCACTCGCATTGCATGCGGCAAGCTCGTGTCGCGACGCCCATTGCGTTGGCCTCTGACACCGCGTGGATCGTTCAGCCTCGAGCAATCGCAGCTCTCAGGTTGCGCAGAACGCTGGGTGTCGGCCGACTCTGGGCTGCCGGCGGCGTTCGGCCCTGAACGTCCGCGCTGGGGTCGTCGCCACGTTAGCGCGGCCCGACCTTTCCGTGCATCACCTTCCGAGGTTCGTCCTGGAGGTGCGATGCTTCCGTACCCTTTTGCACGCACATCGTCAGTGGTCAACTTAGCTCAGAAGAGCTCCGCAGGGGACGAAGCGTTCGCCCCGATGCTGACAACAAAGGCACCATGGCGGCAGAAGCCCCTACACTACACAATTGAGTTGTTAAGCAGACATCCGACTGTACTGTGCATACGGCAGACTATTTTTTATACATACGCCGCAAATGAATACACGAAGAAGAACAGCACGTGCCGGACGAGGGCAATGAAGCCGAAGTGCACCAATTCAATCGCCGAAGAGCGAGATAGAGAGAGAGGGAGAGAGAGAGAGAGAGAGAAGTGAGAGAGAGAGAGAGAGAGAGAAGGGCGCGATGCGCGAGTCCACCGGACGTCTCAAGAGCGTGAAGCGCCTCCGCCACAGAAACCTTCCCTTCACGAGCAGCACCCCGAACGAGACCATACGGGGGACCGTGCCGGAGACCATGCGAGAGACCAGACGGACGGTCTCACACCCGGCCTCAGGGAAACATTGCATAGGACCTGGCCTTGGGGGAAACATCGTAGGACCCTCGCAGACAATCCGTCTGGGGAGAAACTGCGTGCCCAAACCCCCGACGTCGTGATTTTTCACGGCAAGGCCATCTCCTGCTCCCTTCCCCCTGCTCGCCGTCGTCGTCGCCGTCGCCTTCGTCGTCGCCGCGACGCCCGCGCATTCACGTTATTACCAGCGGCGGGTCGCGTGCGACCGTGCGCGCCACAGCGCTCGCATAGCCGCTCGTCCGACGGGGGCCCAGGCGGACACCATGTTTTCTCTTCCGCCCACAACTCGTTCAGAGTAGCAGTGGGAAACATAGGTACGCCTCTGACCCTCCCTCGCCGCCGCAGAGAGGATGTTGGAGTCCCGAAGCGGTGCGGTGACAGACCGCGTGGTGACCTCGCCATCCCCCAGGACCTCACCGCATGGTCCGCCACCGCACGGCCCTGGGACCCCGGAGGCCCCTGTCGCCCGAGACGTCCTCGGAGAACGACCCGAGTCCAAAAACCGTGCAGGGACCCCGAATCCGCACCGACTCACCGCTCGGTGTGGTCACCGCCCCGTCTGAGGGCCCCCAATCTTCAACGTGGGTCGGCGGCGAGCCCGGGGGGAGGAGGAGGAGGAGGAGGAGGAGGAGGAGGAGGAGGAGGAGGAGGAGGAGGAGGAGGAGGAGGAGGAGGAGGAGGAGGACGCACCGCACGGTGTGGTCACCGCCCCGTTTGGGGGCCCCCAGAGGATGCCTCTGGCGGCCCCGCACGCGGCCGCTCCCCTGAGCGGCGCGCGCTATCCCCTCCACGCCGCCGCAGGGGGGGAGGACGGGCGGCGCGCCGCGCCGTCGATTCCCCTGGACGGAGCGACCAGCAGGCGACGACGACGACGACGACGACGACGGCGGCGACGACGACGACGCCGACGACGACGGCGGCGGCGACGACGACGACGACGGCGACGACGGCGACGACGACGACGGCGACGACGATCACGATGACGACGACGGCGACGGCGGCGGCGTCGTCGTGACGATGGCGAGCGATGGCGAGCAGGCTGGCGATGACGATGGCGGCAGACCCTCACGACGATTCGAAGAAGAACAAAAACGCCATGCAGACATGCTCCGCGCGGATTTCTTGGGTCTGCGCTGGATCCGCCTCCCTGGCGCGCTCCGGCGCGCCAGGGGCGGCGCCGGAGGCGCCGCTGGGGGGCCCAGGCGCGGATCCAAGAAATCCGTGCGGAGCGCCAAAAGTTTATGTTTCTGGCGTTTTTGGTCCTTCGATTACTACGATGCGGGCCCTGGTGGATCAGTCAAGGTGGCATGTCTTTCGGCCACCCGAGGCTGCTCACCATGGCCCCTGCTCGTCCTGGTCGCGGCCCCACTGCTGCTGCCAACTCTCCTGCCGACGACCCGCCACCACTGCTTCTACGACTCCAGGGTCCATGCAGCCACTCGCGAACGCGCCATGGCCGTCGGAAGCTTTCCACCTGCTGGCTTGAAAGACGAGGGAGGTGCACCGCGAACCGCAGGAATATGTGAGGACAGGGTGGGGCATGAAGACGGATGACTTGCCATTGCTCGTGCGTCAATTCCCCGTGCGTTTTTCGGCGTCCTGCGTGCCTGCTTTGCTGAATGATCCAGGATGCCCCTCGATGGTCCTCGCCGAAGAAAAATCCACACGTCCAGGCGATGCCAAGATGAATAGTACAGGTGGGCCAGGGGTACGAACAGGGGGACAGTGGTGGTGGGCGGGGAAACAAAAACAGCGGAGGGAGAGGAGCAAGAAGAGGGAGATGCGGTGGAGGCATTGTGGGTGGACGTGGCGGCGATGGATTGTGGTAGTGATGGTTCGAATGGTGACGGGGCAGACAGCGACTGCGTGGTACAGAAGAGACAAATGAAACTTGGGAGGATGTAGTGGGCAAAACTCGCACGTTGAATTTTTAAAGCACGATGATGAAAGCTGCCAGCTTCCCAACTGATCGGAAGATGTCTCCACAATGCTAGAACAGGTCGAAAAAGAACACGAGGGGGAGGACGGATAGACAGATGGAGAAAGAGAGAAAGAGAGAGAGAGAGAGAGAAAGACAGAGAGAGAGGGACAGAGGGAGAGAGGGAGAGAGACAAAACGATGTATGTATGTATGTACATATATATAGAGTGATGGAGGGAGAGAGATAACGACATATATATATATAGAGAGAGAGAGAGAGAGAGAGAGAGAGAGAGAGGGAGAGAGAGAGAGAGAGAGAGAGAGCGAAAAAGAGAGAGAGGGAGGTAAAGAGAGAAAGAGAGAGAGAGAGAGACAGAAACATAAAGGGAGAAAGAGAGAGAGAAAGAGAGAGAGAGAGAGAGAGAGAGAGAGAAAGAGAGAGGGAGAGAGAGAGAGAGAGAGAGAGAGAGCGAAAGAGAAAAACAAGAGAGGGATGAACGAGACACCAAATGGCATGAAGCACGAGCTGCACAAGCAAAGTCGGACACGCATGAAGGAGACAACATATATCCGGCAGGCCGCTCTGGCAAGGCGGGCAGGGCAGGCGTAAGCCGAGGTTCGCCACGGCCACGCTCCTCAGATACTCGGTGGGGCGCAGCGTGCTGTGTCGAGAAGGGCTGGGGAACAGGGGCTGATCGAAACAATTCTCAAAGGACGACGGCACGTGCCATCAAAGGAACGTAAGACCCCGACGCCATGAGACCGATAATGCACGTCGGAAATGGCGGTGACTAACACATGACATACTGGTAGAGGCGACACGAAGGAAGGGGAGGAGAGGAACGAAACAGGGAATGGAAGAGACGCGCAACGCAACGTAACTGGAAGACACAACCCACTGGCGCCTCACCAGCAACACGGGCGCGGATGATCGGCCAGCGCGAAGTCTGACGCGAAGGCAGAACTTGCCCCCAAAAACGAACGAAGTGCAAGGGGCTGTCTTTGGGCGGCGAGCTGGCCCAAGCGCCGCGGCCCCACAGCCGCGGAGTGAAGGTATCAGGCGGGCTCTACGCACCAGGGGGGGAGAGCCAATGCTGTCCACACGCACGTCGGTGTCAGTGCATGAGCAAGAAAAACAAAGCCAAACGTGCGAAGGGCAGCCCTGGGCGGCGAGCTGGCCCGTACACCTCGGCCCCGCAGCCGCGGAGTGGAGGCGCGGGGCGGGCCCGCGCACCGAGGGGGACGGCCCATGCTATACAGGCGCACGTACTTTTACAGGAAAGACGAGCGCGCCAACAGGTCAGACGACCGACCGTATAAGAAACACATGGGCAGGGGCCGACGTTGGTAGGGAGAGACTATGCACATGGATTCCACACATTGATTTGTGCATGCGTTTGTACATCTTTACATTTGTGTATATACACATATGTATAACCAGCCGTAGGTATGAAACGTATCTATGTATCTACGCATGTCTGTATGTACGGATGTATGCATACGTATACATATAATATGTTAGCCAACGAAGACCCCTGGTCAATATGTTTGCAGTCGTGTCCGTTGTGCAATACATGTGGTGCGATCAAAGTTGTGCAATCCATGCGGTGCAACCTATGTGGTGCAATACCTGTTGTGTACCCTGTGTGGTGCAATAAATGTTGTGCAGCCCATGTGGTGCAATCTATGCGGTCGAATCTGTTCTGTGCAAGCTAGGCGGTGCAGTAAAAAGTGGCGCAATCTATGTGGTGCAGTTGTTTTTTACAAACGAATTGTCAATTTCCAAATTCTTGCAAACATCCCACCCACCCACCCACCCACAACTTGGTTTGCAACACCCATGCGGCGGACGGGCGAGGTAACGTGGCGGCGTCGACGGAGGTATACGCGAGAATGAGGGCAGCGATGCTGGTGACGACGATGACAGCGATGGCGGCAAGGCCTGTGACGGCGCCGATGCTGATCGCTTCGGCGACAGTGACGGCGTTTCGCGTCGGTGATGCAGGTTTTGGAGGGAGTTCGGCGCGCGCGCGCGCGCGACCGACGCGCGAGTGGCCCGCGCGGTATTATTTGACGCGCATCGCGCCCCCCCCCCAACACGAGCGGCGCGAGGGGCTCGTCTGGCCGAGTTTAACGAATTGCAAATTGCAGGAGCGCGAGCGCAAGCATGTTTCAAAACTGACGTTGCAAAACCGCGTGCTTTTATTTGTGTTCGGGGCACTCGGTCTTGACATTCATGCGAAGCGAGAAGTTTTTGACGGATGTCGGCATGCGCGCGCAACGACGCGCGCGTGCACTTTGTCGCGTCCTTTGCAAAAGATCATTGCGGCATCGCCCGCGCGAGGGCGGTCGAGCGATTGCACCGCGCAGGATGCCCGTTTGATGGCATGTAATGAACATGTTGGACAACCCATGGTTTTCTAAGACGTCGGAATTTCCTGAACGCGAGCTTTTCCTGAACACCAGTGTTTCGATTCTTTGGTGTTATTGAACATGTGTTCGGGCCGCTTGGTTTTTGCATATCTACGCAACATAAGGTGCTTCAAGGACTTGCGTGCGCGCGACGCCGCGCGCGTGTGCACCCAATTACATTCTTTCAAGGGGCCCATGCAAACGGATGGTTGCTGATGAAAGAGTGCGCGGGCATAATTTCCTAAAAACGATGAATGGGAAGGGGGGGGGCGTGCCTGCCTGCCTGGGGTTGTATGAATTCATACTTAGGATGGGCGATGGGGCATGATCATATGTACAATGCAATGCGAAAAGGTGCCGTTAATTCCGGGGGAGGGGGGGTCGATCGCATTTTTTTTTATTATTATTAAAAAAACGAGAATCTGAGTAGTGAATCAAGGGCGGCGGCGAGGCGGCGGCGGCGGGCGCCAAACCGAAGGCGCAGTCCGGGCGGCGGGCGGCGACGAGGCGGCGACGGAGCGGCGTCGCCACATGGCCGCCAGACCGAAGTCATGGCCCAGTTGCTTAGTGCAGACACTGTTCTGGATATAGTCCGTCTGTCTGTCTGTCTGTCTGTCTGTCTGTCTGTCTGTCTGTGTGTATGCATGTGTAGATGTACCCATATGTGCGTATATGTATGTGCTAAAGGCCGCTCCTGTGATGCACCTTCGCTTCTATTTTCCAACATCTGTCGCTCTTTTGCCGAGCGCGATGATCGCGACGCCGATGGCGGTGAAGATGACAGAAGAGGATGAGAAGTTCACAGACAAGGAGGCGGATGAGGGGTGTGCGAGAGGTGATGAGCACGGGCAAATATGCTAATGATGACGATGAGGAGGGAGTGGGGGCGACGAGGATGGAAACGGCAAGGGGGGGATATTCGAAAAGCAAGGAGGCACTCTTGAGGGGGAGGCAGGGGGAGTGAAAATGAGAAGGATGAACAGCAACACCAGCGCACGCGGGAACGGGTTCGGATCGGGATAGGGACGCGGCGATGCGGAGCAGTTGTTATGAGGAGGAGCTGTCGTACGAGGGGGACCTAGATAAAATCAACGCGACGTCGATCATTATGAGGAGGCTGATGAGTGCACTTTGGCCTCTTCCACCGTCCCATCCGCATCGGTGGTCATGCCCAGGACCGTCAAATGGACCACATTGGACCGTAGTTCTTGCACGAGCTGCTCGAACTTCGACGAGCTCTGCTCGAGGAGCGCCATGGGGCAGCGTGACCAACTCTCGAGGTATCGCTTGAGCTCCATGTCCACCAAGACGATGTCCGTCTGCTTTAAAACACAATCGAAGATGACCCTGCTCATTGCCGGCACGATGACCGGGAACGCACCAGAGGCCTGCACGGTGGCCTGGGCTTGCTTGGCCGCTTGCTTCGCATCTTGGTTCGACGCTTTGCTGGCAGCGGGCGTCCAACTGTCGACGTTCGGTTCGAGCTGGTCGTAGTGGTCCTTCAGCACCTTGGGCAGCTTCGAGAGGTCGAAGTTGGAGAGGGACCCGTATCAATATGGGATGGTGGCTTCTGCCATGACAGCCACAATCACAACCTCCCCCAGCAGCGAAGCCACGACGCAGCCTGACCACTGCGGGCGAGGGTCAGTGCCTCCATTGCGAAGTTGCAGGCGACGGCGGCTTCGTCCTGCGCGCCCTTCCCCTTGTCCCAGCGCGCCTTCGGAACGACGACGCCGGCCTTGAAGTGTGTCTTCAGTCGGCGCATCAGAGCAGGGGTGAAAGACAGGAAAAAAAACGTCAAAGCCTGCGAAGCCTGCTGCTACGTGCCAGAGAACAGGTCCTGCACGCAGGCCAGCTTGACCGTCACGGGGTTCGGTCCCACGTATCCAAACTTCGCGAGCTCCGCAAGTAGGTTGAAACCACCCTCCTCTTTGCGGATGGTCTTCATCTCCTCCTGGAGCTCTGTCAAGTCCTTCGACCGCTCCACGCCCGCCTTCGCAGCGGCAGGCGCCGAAGGCGCGGCCGCCGGGACGCCATGGCGTCGAGAGCAGAGAATGTCGAAATCGGGATGCCTGCGCAATAGCAAGTACGCCACCGAGAGACAGAAAACCAAACGGAGGAGCAGACATAGCGCGAAAGGTGTGAATAAGCGAGCCCAGAGGAACAGAAAAAAGTGAGACAAAAAACCCAGACCATGTGATGAGGAGGCTGATGATGATGCTGATGATGAGGAGGAGGAGGGGGACGAGGGACTCGATGATACGAGTGAGGATGATGAGCAGTGAACAGAGAGAAAGAGAGAGAAAGAGAGAGAGAGAGAGAGAGTGGCGGAGGAGCACCGGGAGGCCCCAAGACCAGTGTCCGCTCTTGGTTTATTTTTCTTTGCATCTGATCAGGTTTTCCATTATCACAGACGCGTGCTTCTCGAATTTGCGTCAGTTGGGTCTCCTGCCCCCCGATCGCGATGAAGAGGCGGTTGAGGAGGATGGGGAGCTCGAGGAGGCGAGTTTGGAGGAGTAGCGATGACGAGAGGGAGGCGGGGGAGCAGCGAGAGGACTTATTAAGACGGGTGAGGGATACCATCCGCTCCCTGCTTGCCTTACTTTGTGCCTGATCTGGTGATCTATTTTCAATCGTGTATTTCTCGAATTTGCTTCGCTTTTTTAGGTCTTCTTGTGATAAGCCTTTCGGTTGGTGCCACCAGCCCTCAAGGACACGACCGTGGAACATAACGAAACGGATTTCGGTGTGGTTTGTATCTGATGGCTTTCGGCCCATCCCGCCTCCGTGCCTGGGCTGTGAACCAGCAGACGCCCTGAAGATGTTTGACGGGCTTTCTTGGGAGGCTTCTTGGGACTATGTCGGAGGCAATTTTTCCTGGGCGCCTCGTGGAAGCGTCGTGAGGCTTCTATTTAACCTTTGGGGTTACTTAGATCAGCAGGAAGGAGCACAGCACCGGTCCAATCGATTGCAATCCAATCGATCGCAAGCCGATCGATTGAAAACCAACCGATCGAAAGCCAAGCGATTGAGAACGCATCGGTTGTATTCCAATCGATTTCGCTCCAATCGATTACAATCGTTTGAGACGCATTGCAATCCAACCGACTGCATTGCAATCGGTTGCAACTCAACTGATTGCAATCTAACCGGTCAATGCAATCGATTGGACCGCAAAGCTTTCACCTCATGGAGTGCGCCACGCAGCATGCACCACGAAGCTGGCATAACACAGCACAAATCATATAGATGAGCACGGTAGCTCCTACCACATACATAGCTCACAACATAAAGCGGGAGGAGGGACCAAAGAGGAAGGAGGATGTAGGAGGCTGGAGCCTCGTGGGGGCGTTGTGGGCGTTCCGTGGGGGCGTCGTGGATTGTTTTGTTGAGCCACTGGGGGCCTCTTGGAGCTTCTCCAAGGCATCTTGGGGGTATGTATTTGGGCGAGCGGCTCGTTCTTCTCGAACTCGCTTCGCTGAAATATCTGTTTACCCTTCCTTACTATACATCCGTCGCTTCTCGTTTTGGATTCGCGCTGCGCACTGGCACTACTGGCGCACGATATCCGACATCTGGGCGAACACGGACGACATGTTCAGGGCATTGCTGTGTGATTTAGGTTTTTGCATTGCGACAGCATGTATAATCCTCACTGGCTGCTGCTTGTCACTCGCTTGCCAAGTTGCTGACTATCTCGAAAGCAGGCACGACATACTTGCGTAAGAGACCGCGGCCCACAGGAAACATGCACCTGCGAGTCTGACGCATGTCTGTTTGTGTGTTACTAACGGACGGCGTTCTCTTGTCAGACCGACTAGAGGGATCCAAAGTGGCAATGGGCGGCAGGCGAGATAGCTGGGGAAGAAAAACATGTGATGCAACCATCACAGACAATATAACTCTGACAAGCAAAAATAACGTCGGGGACCAACAACGCTGTCTTGGTAAGTGTGGGTTTTTTTTTGTTTGAGTTGACAGCAAAAACACAAACAAACGACAAGCTGGGAGCAAGGACGCTCTCTGTTCTTACAGTGCTCGCGCCTCCACAATTTAATTATTGTTAATCTGGGTGCACTAGGAATCCCTTCGTAAAGCTTCACACATTGATTTGTAGTAGGCGGCCTTGAATTGGAATCCTTCTTGTGGCGGCTTACACAGCAATTCCACTTTGTGTCGGATACAATACGAAGCCATTTGTCGAGCACCACACATGGATTCCTAACAGGCGGCTGTCAAAAGGATTCCAATTAAAGGCTGCCCAATACGAATCAACTTGAAACGCTTTACAAAATAATTGATATTGTAACCCGATCAATAGAAGTTAATTTGTGGAGACGCAAGCGCTGTAAAAACACAGGTTTCTTTGCTCCTGGTTTTTCTAGTCAAATCAACCCCACACTCAAAACAAGTGTTTTGGTACCGCTGCCGTTTTTCATTTTTTTGTTTTGCCTTCTTTGTGTGTTTGCCGGCGCAGCGCTTCTCCTCATTCCTGCTTCGCTGGGAGGCGGGCAAGCGAGGAGAAGAGAACACGATGCCAACGAACAAATATAAACACCCCAAAAAACAATCAGGGGGACCAGGAGCGCTGTGTTCTCAAGTGTGGGGTTGTTTCTTAAATGAAGCCAGACAACAACAACAAATCTGGAACCTTGTGTTTTTAGTGTTTGCGCATCTGCACATTGATTTCGATTGGTCGGGGTACACTAGGAATCCTTTTGTACAACTTTACGCATTGATTCGTCTGGGGCTGCCTTTAATTGGAATCCTCCTTTGTGCGGCCTTCTGTCGATGCCGACAAATGGATTCCTATTAGGTGGGTTTCAAAAGGATTCCACTTATACCCCGATCAATGGAAATCAATTCGTGGAGACGCGAACTCTATAAAAACACAAAGCTCCGTGCTACCAGCTTGTGTTTTTTCGGTGCTTTGGATTTTCAACAGGAAAAGTAATTCCGGAATTAAGAAAACACAGCGCGCTGGGTCCCCAAAACTGTATTTTTATGTTTTGTTGTTGTGTTTTCGCCGTCGCAGCGTTTCTTCCCAATCTTGCTTCGCTGGGAGGCGGGCGAGCGAAGAGAGGAGAAAACGCTGCCGACGAAAAAACACAACAAACGTCAAAAAGACAACAAAGACAATCAGGGGGACCAAAAACGCTGTGATTCTGACTGTACGTTTTTCTTACAAAAATGAAAGCACAAAAAACAATCTGGGAGCAAATCGGCCCTGTGCTTTTACAGTGCTTGCGCCTCCGCACATTGATTTGAGTTCAATGGGGTACAATAGGAATCGTTTTGATAAAGCTTTATGCGTTGGTTCGTATTAGGCGGACCTTCCTCATAATCCTTTGTGTGGCGGCTTACAAGTTAATTCCTATTGTGTGGAGGTGCACTACGAAACCTTATGTAGAGTCCGACAGATTCGTTCCGATTCTGCGGGTTTCAAAATATATTCCAGTTTAAAGACGTCCATCACGAATCAACTTGAAAAGCTTCGCAACAGGATTCCTACTGCACCCCGATCAATAGAAAGCAACTTGTGGAGGCTGAAACATTGCAAACACATGGTTTCATTGCTCCCAGCTTTGTGAGAACAAAAAGACAATACCACAATTAAAATCACAGCGCTGTTGCCCCCCAGCTGTTTTTGTTGTTATTTGTTTGTTGCTTGTGTCTGCTTGCTTTGTGTGCTTTTCGTCGGCAGCGTGTTCTCTGCGTCTTCAGGTTCGGGTTCAAAGGGGTTTTACTTAGAAGCGCTCCAATCGAATTCGATTTGCAAGTGCGTACACGAGATCTGCGTTGTAGGTAGGAATCAACGTGTAGATCTACAACCAAATTCTTCTTGAAGGCAGCCCAGAAGGAACCAACTTCTGAAGCTGTACGACAAAAGGATTCCATGTGCTTCCCACACACTTAAAATCATTTGGACGATCTACACGAACGGATTTGAGCTGAAGGCTGCCCAATAGGAAATTACACATTGATGTGGTAATAGCCGCTCCCGTAGATCTTTTCAAAAATATTGATGTGACGGCCGCCCAGCAAGAAATTAATGATTGTGTTCGATCACTTCTCCATGCCATGGCAACCACAACGAAAAAAGAGAAAGGCAGATCACAGGAACGGCCTTCACCATACACACACATATATATACACACGCGTACACAGTATCCAAGTATACAAGTGTATGTATGTATGTGCATAATTATGTACATGTCTATATGTATCCGCCACATCAGGTCCGCAAGTCCTCAGGCCCCTCAGTGCCGTGGGCACTACTTACTGGAATGTCCTCAGGTCCCTTCGAGTTCCCTACATAGGACACTCTGAATGTCCCTCATCCTCTCTCTTTCTTTATTCCCTCCCCCTCTTTCTCTCCTAACTGTCCTCCCACAAGCTCACGCAGCGGCTGGGGGAGCACATCGTCCAGTAGCTTGGCAATACACCGGCCCAGCTTCTTGCTACATAGATGTTGCCAAAAGGTAGGGTGCGGCGGGGATTCGCAGAAGCACCTTCGATCTACACACGCATAACTGTTTATATGTTTGTACATAAGTTTACATGTACATACGCATAAATTCGTATATATGTATGCATGCATGCGTGTATATATGTGTGTAAATGTAAACATATATGTATGCATGTATGTACTTACGTATGTATGTGTGTTTATGTATATATGTTTATGTTTTTTCCTTATTCAGAGAACGATGCTTCGTCATAACTCGTGCACCGACTGGGGAGGCTGGGCCCCGAGCGCCCCAGATAAGCCCACGAGGGTCCCAGATGGCTCCAAGGCGGCCCCAAGGGCGCCAGAAGGCCCCTGAGAGGCCCCGAAGAGCCCCCCCCAACACGGCCAAGACGGACCAAAGACGACCCCACGATGGACGACAGTTGGCCCAACGGGCTCGCAAGGTTCCGACGAAGCCCAACAGAGGCAAGACGAACATGATGTTCAATTTGTTTTGTGCGATTTTCGCATGCGCGCCTTTTCGGTCTTCAGGGCCTCCCTAGACTGCCTAATCGGCCCCCGAGATGGCCCCAAGAAGGCCCGAAAGGCGTCCAAGAGGGCTCCGAGCCAAGAAGGGCCCAGGACGGCTCAAGACGGGCTGAAGACGGTCCAAGAAGGCCGCCAGCCCAGAGGGGCTGCTCCACATGGCCCAGGAGAGCTCCAACACAGTCCAACGGGCACCCCCAAAGTGCCCCCAAACAGCCCCAGGCGACCCCCAAGAAGACTCTGAGGCCCCCAAGACAGCCCACAAGGGCCCCCAAGCGGTCCAACAGGCCCAGGAGATAGCCTGAGAGCGGCCCGAAAGACTTCCAGTAGAGGTCAACTCGCAACCCGATATTCGTACGATGACGGTCAGATGAGCAGTATGCACGCGTGTATATCTGTATACATGTACATCTACATGTGCACATATATATATATATATATATATATATATATACATACGTACGTACATACATGCCTACATACATACAGACACACTTATGTACTTGTAAATGCAAGGTGCATGTATCCGTATTTGTACATGTATAGGTGTCGGTCTTTCTACCAAAAACTGTATATGCATGCATCTGTAGAGAGAGAGAGAGAGAGAGAGACGGAGAGAGAGAGAGAGAGAGACATACACACACATTTATTTATATATATATATATAAATAGAAATATAGAAATAGAGATACACAGACACAATGTATACATCTAGGGGTATGGATATAGGGCTATCTATACATAAATACCTGGAGATATATACATTGAGAAGAGAGAGAGAGAGAGAGAGAGAGAGAGAGAGAGAGAGAGAGAGAGAGAGAGAGAAAAAAACTAGAGAGCTAGAAAGAGAGAGAGAGAGAGAGAGAGAGAGAAGAGAGAGAGAGAGAAAGAGAGAGAGAGAGGAGAGAGAGAGAGAGAGAGAGAGAGAGACAGAGATAAAGAGAAAGAGAGAGAGAGAGAGACAGGGATAAATAGAGAGAGAGAGAGAAAGAGAGAGAGAGAGAGAGAGAGAGAGCGAGAGAGAAAAACAAAATAAAGAGACAGAAAGACGGAGGCACGAAACACTGGCGTCAAATAAGGGTATGAGGGTGCATCGAATCATGGCGGGTTCGACAAAAGCTGTAGTATCAGCAGCCCGTGCTGCAGCGGCACCCACAACTTCAGCTTGCATGACGCTGGTGGCGTCAACAGCGTCAGCGGCAGCGCACGGTGAGCATCAAGGCGGCCGAGGAACCTGTGGCTGAGATACATGAGCTCGATGACCTTCAGGGGTTACGCAAGTGCCAGGCGCGACCGCTCGGAAGGCCGCGACGAGCACACACACACATCGAGGACGAATGTTGCAGGGAGGCACCAGCTCAAGGAGGAGAAACGTCGAGCGGGAGTCGCCGGTACATCGCCGATGCATCGGCGATAGGCCGCCGATGACGAATCCACGCGTTCCTGGGCGGAGTGGGCCATCAGGCCCCTTCCGGCGATGAATGGGCGATTGGGGGGTCGATGCTTTCCTCCCTGAGCCGATCCCCCTCCATAGCGATTCCCGTGACACACACAACACACAACACAACACACAACACAATACCCAACACAACACACACAACACAGAACGCACAACACACGACAGATACACTCAACACGCACAACACACATAACACACATACACACACGCGCACGCACGCACGCACACACATGCACACAACACACAGCACATACTACACTCACAACACACAACACGCACAACACACATACAACATACCCACAACACACAACCCGCACAACACACATTTTTAAGTCGGCGACGCAGAGGAGCCTCAGGCGCGGTCAGCAAATGTACATGCTACTTGCGAACGAACTTCGTCGGAACGCGCAGTGAAGGATACGTCCACGCACACAACACAGCACAGCACAGTAAAGCATACAACACACAGCACACAGCACACAATGCACAATGCACACAACACACAACACACAACACACGCACACACACACACACGCAACACGCAGCACACAACACACAAGACACAACGCACTCGACACAAGACACAGCACTCAAAACACATACGCCCACCCACCCAGACACCCACCCACCCAGACACCCAGACACCCAGACACCCAGACACCCAGACACCCAGACA